GTAGCTGAATCTCCTTTAGTGCAAATATGGAAGAAGTGTCAGGAAGTTTGTGGATCCGCTCCCCCAGACCAAGGAAGAATGGATGTTTCATGGCATCCTCTGCAGAGATCCGATTTCGACCCTCAAACTGCAGCAGCTTGGTAAGGAGGTCAGTCCCATCACTATCAAGTCGGGGTGTGTGGCTCAAAAAGGCCTCGGCTTGGTACTTGGGGTAGTTGTAGGTCTTGAACTTCTTATTGGACAGGATGCCTGGCCACGTCTCCTCAGTTGGGGTTCCTAAGATGTGGAAGATGAAATGCAGTTGTTCCTCCACCATGGAGCCCGGGAAGAGGGCCCAGCCTGTGGCCATCTCATAGAAGATGCAGCCCACACGCCACATGTCAATCTGAGTAGAGTAGTCCGTGGACCCAAGCAGGATGTCAGGGGACAGTACCACAGTGTCCCCACCTCATTGGAGTACATCTTTGTTGGGATTGACTTGGCTCGGGCCAGACCAAAGTCAGCCAGCTTGAGCTCTCCTCTCTCATTGATGAGCAGGTTCTGGGGCTTGAGGTCTCAGTGTAGTACCTTCTGCTGGTGGCAGTAGGCCAGGCCATGGAGCAGCTGGAACAGGAACAGTTTCATATTGTGCATGTTGATGATGTTCCCACAGTCATCCAGGTACTGCTTGAGGTCCTTGTCCAGGTACTCAAAGACAAGGGAGAGGGACTTCTCCAGGTGGATTATGTCACGTACCATAACAATGTTGGCGTGTTTGAGGTCCTTGAGTAGAGACACTTCCCTGATGGCCGTGCACGGTGTCCCCTCTCCATGTTCCAGTCTGGTCTCCTTGAGCACCACAAGGTTGTCTGTGAGCTTTTGCCTTTGTAGACGGTGGCATAGGTACCCTCGCCCACGTTGTCCAGCTTAATGTAAGTCTCCAGTTTCCCAAAGCCAGTCTCAGACAGGCTGACATGATGGAGGCGGCGGCTGAGTGACTTGTCAAAGATGGGGCTATTGAGGGTCAGCTTCTCAAGGTAGCTCTCAGGTAGCCAGGTGTCAGCTGGTAGTGATAGGTGCTTGTTGATGTCCTCAGTGGAGATCTTGCATGGGGGATGGTTGTGCATGGGCACTCTCACTGGAGACTGCACCTCGTCTGAGAATGTGGCTGAAGCCTGGTCACTCTCCCCATCAGACCCCATCTTCAAGTCCTCGTGCACAATCTCTGGTGCAGAGCTGAGTGGGCCCTGTGTAGAGCGAAGTTCTCCACGAGCAGCACGTGTGGGGGCCTCTCCAGGGTCACTGCCACCACCACCACCACTCTCATCCCGGCCTATCTGCTCAGTGGCACCATTGGTCTTCTCTATGCTTCGGCTACCTCAGAGTGTCATTAACAGCTGCTGTCTGATCTTCATATGATCCACGGCGGGGCGCGCAAGCAACCTCAGAGCTACGGGGCCGCAGAGGAGGCGCCTGGAGCGGCAGCCCGGGATGAGGCCATGCGACCTCCTCCTGTTCGCAGCAGGCGCCTGTCCCAGTAGTCTTCGGCCGCGGTTGCTGGACCCGGGCTGCCGCCGGCTGAGGAGGAAGCGGCGGCGGCGGCGGCGGCGTCCTGCTCAGTCAGACATGAGCTTGGCCGCTGCAGGCTATGCCCCCAGGCTCGATGGCGCCGGCTCAAATCCGAGTGCTCATGGCGGCTAGTGCCGGCTGATCGCAGAATCGCGGCGGATCCCAGGGCCGAACAGTTTAACGGCCCAACCGCTGCGCGCTCCGCGTATGCGCACGCAGGCGCTGGGAAGCAAGATTAATATTATTAGATTGTGTTTAAATGTGATGTCCACTCCAGTTTTTCTGGGATTTTAATTATGTACCTTTTAAATTTTGTTTGTCCGCTGGGTGTGGTAGCTCACGCCTGTGATCCCAGCACTTTGGGAGGCTGAGGCAGGCGGATCACCAGATCAGGAGATCAAGACCATCCTGGTTAACATGGTGAAACCCCATCTCTACTAAAAATATAAAAAATTTGCTGGGCGTGGTGGCACATGCCTGTAGTCCCAGCTACTCGGGAGGCTGAGGCGGGAGAATGGCTTGAACCCGGGAGGCAGAGATTGCAGTGAGCGGAGATCACACCACTGCACTCCAGCCTGGGTGACAGAGTGAGACTCCAACTCCAAAAAAAAAATTGTCTCCTTATATATTTTTTCAAAATTCTTGTGTTCTCAGTGTGATATTGGAGTGTGTCCTCAACCCGTGCCTGAGCCACTTTGGCAGGCATGTGTGTTCTACTTTAGGGGATACTTCTGCTGATTGGGCTAAGGAGGGAGGCAATAAGATCCAGGTGGTGGATATCGTAGGCCTTTTTTTTTTTTCATTTGTGTGAGGGGGCAGTTGGCAGAGCTAGCTGAGGTTTTATTTTGGAAAAAAAAAACAAAATTGAATTGTTTTGTGGCTAGAGTCATGGACAAGGGGAGTACCCAGGCAGTAAACTCCCCGGGTGGGTGGGCTGAGGGCTAGGGCTGAGCCTCGATGGGCCTCCTAGTCCCCGTGCTCCCCTGCATAGCAGTGTAAGTCATTTTTAAGACCACCTCTTTTGACACTAAGTTATCTGGGGGCATGCCTTGCTTCTTCATTTCCAGCCCTGGGCATCTTCTTTGTCAGAACTACCATTAAAAGTTTAGCGTGAGGGCCTACCACAGTGGCCCACAACTGTAATCCCAGCAGTTTGGGAGGCTGAGGCAGGTGGATGACCTGAGCTCAGGAGTTCAAGACCATCCTCGCCAACATGGTGAAACCCCATCTCTACAAGAATTAGCCAGGAGTGGTGGTGGGTGCCTATAATCCCAGCTACTTGGGAGGCTGAGGCAGGACCCGCTTGAACCTGGGACACAGAGTTTGAAGTGAGCCGAGATTGCACCATTGCACCTCCAGCCTGGGTGACAAGAGGGAGACTCTGTCTCAAAAAAATAAATAAAAATTTAGCTTGAGGTTTTATTATTTGCACATATGTTGTCAATTGCTTCTTTTTTGTACCTTAATCATTGTGTTGGTTTAGCATTACCTCAACCTTTGTTCTCTCATTAGTCCCGTTAATACTATTAGCAGTCTTTCTTTAGCAGATTATTTAGTTTATTCTTGGGGCTTTATATGAGGCCACTGCTGTTAGCCATCCAGTATTTCTAAGAAAATGAGGGCAAGCTGGGAGAGTGCTACTAACAGCAGAAACTAGCACAGCTGTTAGGAATGCCTGGGTTGAATTAAGAAATATCTTACTTTATCATTGTTTATTTGTTACTTCCTGAGACACAGACTCCAGAGAAATGGGTCATTGTTCCCTTTGTAGTTATTGATTCTGAGTTTGGTTTCTGAATTTCTAAGATTTCGTAAGATGCTTTGCCCATGAAGAAGCCTCCTGTTATAAATAATTTGAGCTGTACATTTTTTCTCCTAGTTTCTCCATCACTCCTAATCCATCTGTTCTTTATCATTTAGGAGTAGTAAGTCTGAGGATTTTTTGTTTGTTTGTTCGTTTAATATACCAGTAAGTCTAAACTCTGTATTCCTAGCACAGTTCTCTCACAGGAGTTCCAGACCTATATATATATCTCACTGCTTACTGACCAGTGCTGCAAGGATATTCTACCAGCACCACAGATTATACAAGGCAGATTTGAGTTTCTGCCCCCTTCCCTACTTCAGCTTCTTCCTCTGGCATTTCCTATCTGATTACATAGCACCACCATACCCAGTCACTCAGGCCGGGATCCCAAGGAACAGGCTTGGTACCTCCTTTCTCTTCTAGGTTTAGTTTGTCATCACATGATCTGAATGAATCTCTCCCATTCTCTCCACAACCATTATCCTTACCGTTTTTCTTCTGATTTGTAATAGCAGCCATCTCGCTACCTAAAGTCTTGCTTTCCAGTGGTGTTTATAGTCACAAAGTCAATCATTTTACTCTGAATTTAAATCCTTAAATAGTTTTCAATCCCTGTAGAGTTTAACCCTAAGATCCTTATAATTAGACACTAAGCCCTTTGCGCTAGCTTTACTTCCCCTCCGGGGCACATTCTTCACCACTGTTACCTTTTTATCTTCTTCGTAAGAAGCCACTTGTAATTTTCTTCCACATTTCACTTCTCTTTTTTTTTTCCTGTCATTTTCTCCCAGAAGTCCTCCTAAGCCCCAGGGTCTGAGGTGAGTGTTCCTCCTCTGTGCCTTTGTGGCTGGTTGTGCATACTTTTCTTGTACTCTATTGTACTATACATTCATCTGTACCACTCACTTAGTATTATCATTGTTTGATATATTTGTCTTTCTTCCCAGGAAACTTTAGCTTGTTAAGCAAAAGGATTTCTGTTTTCTTCCTTGTATCCCCAACACCTATGAAAGCAGAATACCAGTTAAGTGCATATTTACTTAAAGGAAAGTAGGCCAGGAATGGTGGCTCATTACCTGTAATCCCAGCACTTTGGGAGGCTGAGGCAGGTGGATCACTTGAGGCCAGGAGTTCAAGACCAGCCTAGTCAACATGACGAAACCATGTCTCTGCTAAAAATATAAAAATTATCTGGGCGTGGTGGCAGGCACCTATAATCCCAGCTATTTTGGAGGTTAAGGTGGGAAAATTGCTTGAACTCGGGAGGCAGAGGTTGCAGTGAGACCAGATCACACCACTGCACTCCAGCCTGGGCAAGAGAGCGAGACGCTGTCTCAAAAAAAAAATAACATAAAATGATGTGAGATGAGATGAAATGTTATTGTCAGCAAGGATATAGGACTTACAGCCTTTTGTAGGATTAGTAAGAGAAGAATTTCCTTGGCTATGCTTAAAAGCCAAGAGAAGATTTCTGTCTTGTGCCCAGATTCAAATGTACCTGACGTTAACCCAAAGCACATAAATGACTATAAGGACAAGCTGAATTTTTTCCTAGTTTTTAAGCCTTCAAGCCTTTGGCACTCGCATTCTTGAAATCTTGAAGTCTACCCTTTGTTCTCACCACTGAACTCTCTTTGTTCCCTAGGATACTTGAGTGAAAATTCTGTGGAGAATCTTCAGCAGAAAGCACTCAGGATCTGTTACATGAGCTTTCCTGCTGGCTAATTTTGGAAGGGATGGCCAGTATAATTACTGGGAGTCGGGATTGTATTGTGAATCATCAAGGGGAAGTGGATGGGGAGCCTGAACTAGATCTTTCCCCTTGTCAACAGTGGGGAGAAGCATCTTCTTATATTTTGAGAAACAGGGACGATATGATGACTCTTCAAAGTGATGATTTCAAAAACATTGAAAGCGAAACATATTTGCCTTTGAAAGTCCCAAGCCAAATAAACACACAAAACTCTTCAGTGAAGTTCTGTAAGAATGAGCCTCAGGATCATCAGGAAAGCAAACATCTCTTTGTAATGGAAGAAGGCACTGAGAGAAAAGTGAGAAGGGGGGAAAGTTGTTCAGAAAACCTTCAAGTTAAACTGGTGTCTCATGGACCAGAACTGGCCTCACCATTGTTAAGTGGTGAGGCAACTTGCCAGAATGGCCAGTTAAAAGAATCTTTAGATCCCCTTGACTGTAACTGCAAAGACATTTATTTATGGAAATCACAGGTGGTCAGTTATAGTCAGCAGAGAGCTCATACAGAGGAGAAACCCTGTGACTGTAATAACTGTGGGAAAATACTTAACGGCAGCCCAGATGGTCATCCAGATGAGAAAACCCACACTACAGACAAACAATGTGAATGTAGTCAGTGTGGTAAGAACTTCAGTCAAAGCTCAGAGCTACTACTTCACCAGAGAGACCACACAGAAGAAAAACCCTACAAATGTGAGCAGTGTGGGAAGGGCTTCACAAGGAGCTCGAGTCTGCTTATCCATCAGGCAGTCCACACAGATGAGAAGCCTTATAAGTGTGACAAGTGTGGGAAGGGCTTCACCAGGAGCTCAAGTCTGCTCATTCATCATGCTGTCCATACAGGCGAGAAACCTTATAAATGTGACAAGTGTGGGAAGGGCTTTAGTCAGAGCTCCAAACTGCATATCCACCAGCGAGTCCACACTGGAGAAAAGCCCTATGAGTGTGGGGAGTGCGGTATGAGCTTCAGTCAACGCTCAAACCTGCACATCCACCAGCGAGTACACACAGGAGAGAGGCCCTACAAGTGTGGCGAGTGTGGGAAGGGCTTCAGTCAGAGCTCGAACCTTCACATTCACCGGTGCATCCACACGGGAGAGAAGCCTTACCAATGCTATGAGTGTGGCAAGGGTTTCAGCCAGAGCTCGGATCTTCGCATCCATCTCAGAGTCCACACCGGAGAGAAGCCCTATCACTGTGGCAAGTGTGGGAAGGGATTTAGCCAGAGTTCCAAACTCCTCATCCACCAGAGGGTACATACTGGAGAGAAGCCCTATGAGTGCAGCAAGTGTGGGAAGGGCTTCAGCCAGAGCTCCAACCTTCACATCCACCAGCGGGTTCACAAGAAAGATCCTCGTTAAGTGACATTAGCCTATTCACGTCTTCACAGTGCTCATACTGTAAAAACTGTTAAGTATTTTAGTATCACTCTTACTGTTATATTCTACAAAGGAGAGAGATGTAAGGGTTATTTCGATATGTTCTCTCACTGAAAAATCATTCATTGAAAGTATTTAAGTATCAAGCACTTTGCTATGCTGTACAACGGATGGATTGTTCTTGTTCTCAGATGGGTAGAGTAAAAGCATCTGTACCAATTCAACTACATGTTCTACTCAGCAGTTTAAGGGCAAGAACTTTATATTTATTCTCAAGCAGGGTATGTTACCCTTTGTTCACATTCTCTGAGAAATTGAAACTCTGTTCACATTCTCTGAGAAATTGAAACTCTGGTTTCTCTTCAAATTAAGTGCCTGTGTTTTTCATTTCTTTCCAGTCCTGATTAGCCCCCTCTAAACTATGATGTACAATGTGTCCATTTTAGGCCAAGGGGACAGTTGGAAATACAATTGACATGGAAATTCTTGTGTTTGTTGCAAAAAGGTACAATAGTTTGTAGCCACACAACAAAAAGCTGGAAGAGAGTTACTCATGTAGTACATTCCCATATACCATTTTGATAGGAAACTGAACAGCCCCTCCCGGGCAACTATTCAGGAACACAAGTAGTTCTTTTTGGTGATTACAGCTAGTTTATTGGGATACTTCCAGAGTGAATGCAAGGGAAGATCCAAAGCAACATGCCTAGCACTTTGGGAGGCTGAAAAGGGTATGTCTCTTGAGCCTAGGAGTTCGTGACTGGCCTGGGCAACATGGCAAAACCTCATCTCTTAAAAAAAAAGTAAAAAAATGAGCTGGTGTGATGGTACACACCTGCAGTCCCTGAGACCAGGTGGTAACAACAAATCACAAATAGCTTCCAGAGGCAGCTGGAAAAAGAAGTGACTGCATAAGGAGCAGGGGACAGCGGATCAGCAGAAGCTACAGAAATTGTGTTGCAGCTTGTTAAGCTAAATATGGCTAGCAGAGAAAGTATTCAAGAGTGTGCTTTTGTTAAACATGTCTCATCATTGGACAGCGTTAAAATGTGAGGAAAAAATTTTAATTTATAAAACTACAGCAATAAGGAGAATAGGAGAAAGACTGTCAGCAAATAAAAATTTGAAAGATGGAAAGATAGCTATTAGAGCAGAAGCAGGCACCGTTACACTGCTTGCATATGGAGATAAGGAAAAGAAGGAACCAGTTTGGCTTCAGACTCAGAAATGCTTAGTACCTTGGAGGATGTGAGTGAAACGTGAAGAGAAAACAATCAAACTAATGGCCAGTTGTATATGGAACATTCCCCCTCATTCCATAAACACATACTGCTCCCCAGCTCCTATACATGGCTGGCCAGGGGTTTAACATCCAACAAGAGATGGGAAGTTTCTTCTCAGCAGAAGTTGAATGACCCCAAGGGAAAGACCTCTGTATTATTGGGATTTGGGAATTGTACAGCAAAGCTGTCTTTCTAGCTTAAGTACACATAAAACAGCTTCAAAATTCATAAAATAACAAAATGGAAAGAGGCAAATTTTTTATTATAATTAGATATTTAAATAAGTAATTGATAGCACAAGTCACTTAGGAGATACAAGCTTTGAACAGCATTATCAACCGATGATGAATTGGCATTTGTAGAACACTCATTAGCTTGATATATTAATACATTTTTTATTTCTTAAGGACAGTGTGTAACTGTCATCCAGGCTGGAGTGCAGTGGGTGCAGTCAGTTACCTTCAACCTTGAATGCTGGGCTCAGTCAATCCTCCTGCTTCAGCCTCGGGAGTAGCTGGGACTATAGGCATGTGCCACCATACCTGGCTATTTTTTATTTTTGTAGAGCTGGGGTCTAGCTATGTTGCCAAGTGGACAAGTGCCATGTTCCTGGACCTCCCAAAGCACTGGGATTACAGATGTGAGCCACTGTGCCCAACCTGTATACATTCTTTTCAAGTGCACCTATTATAGACTGTAAAACAGTCTTAAATTTTTTTTATTTTTTATTTTATTTATTTATTTATTTATTTTTTGGTGACAGCATCTTGCTCTATCACCAGGCTGGAGTACAGTGGCACAATCTTTGCTCACTGCAACTTCTGCTTCCCAGGTTCAAGCAATTCTCCTGCCTCAGCCTCCTGAGTAGCTGGGACTGCAGGCGCATGCCACCACACCTGGCTAATTTTTGTAATTTTAGTAGAGATGGGGTTTCACCATGTTGGCCAGGATGTTCTCGATCTCCTGACCTCATGATCCACCCACCTCAGCCTCCCAAAGTGCTGGGATTACAGGGGTGAGCCACCGTGCCCCACTAAAATTTTTTAAAGAATGAAAACCATGCAAGGTATATTCTCTCACCAGGACAGAAGCATACTCCTAGATGAGTAATAAAGAGAAAGTAACAAGAAAAATTTGAAAATATTTTGAACTGAATGAATATGTCAGAATTTGGGAAATACAACTAAAGCAGTGCTTAGAGGTGAAATCAAACCATTAAATACTTACATTAGATAAAAAGGAAGATTTCAATTCAGTAGTCTAAACTTCCACCTTAAGAAATGAGAAAAAGAACAGAAATAATCCAAAGCAAATAGAATAGGAGATGCTAAAGAGCTAAAAGTCACAAAATCACAAATGGACAAACAGAAAATTTTATGAACCCAAAACCTGACTCTTTGAAAGAATTCCTAGTATCAGGAATGAAAGTGGAAATATCACTATAGGTCCTATACACTAAAAAGGTAATATGGGAATTTTATTAGTAACTTAATGTCAATAAATTCGGCAACTTGAATGGAAAACATTCTTGTAAGGCATATAGAACAAAAGTCCACTCAAGAAAGAGAGCACTTGAATAGTCCTATTAAATTGAATTTGTAGCTGATTAACTTTCCCGCAAAGAAAACTCATGAGACCAACATTACCCAGATACCCAAGCCAGAAAGAAGATCGTAGGAAAAATCATAGATCAACATCTCAATATAGATGTAAAAATCCTTTTTAAAATAGCAAGTTGAACACAGCAATCTGTAAAAGGATAGCAGTAGCACACATGGCCAAGTAGGGTTTATCCTAGAAATGCAAGCTTTAACATTCAAAAAGCAATGTGTTTCATATTAATATCGTAAGAAAAACCACATGCTCTTTTAATGTAGGGAAAAAAAAAACACCCATTCATGATAAAACTGCTCAGTTGATTAGGAATTAAATGGAGTTTCCATAATCTAAGAAACAGTGTCTATGAGAGAACCTACATATGACACTGTACTTAATGGTGAAGTAAAAAGTGCTTTCCTCCTAATATTGGGAACAAGATGAAGATACCTAGTCACCACTTCCGGTCAACCTTGTAGTGGATGTCCTAGCCAGTACAATAAGCCAATAAAAAAGGTTGGGTGTGGTAGCTCATGCTTGGGAAGCCAAGGTGGGAAGATTGCTTAGGCATAGGAGTTACAGACTAGCCTGGACAACATAGTGAGACCTCATCTACAAAAACTTAATGGTGGCATGTGCCTGTAGTGCCACCTACTCGGGAGGCTGAGCAGGAGGATCACTGGAGGCCCAGGAAGTAAGGCTGCAGGGAGCTGTAATTGCACAACTGCACTCCAGTCTGGACGACAGAGTGAGACCCTGTCTCAAAGAGAAGGGATGAGAATGTGAAAGAAGACATGAGACTGCTGTGACACGATCGTCTATATGGAAAAGCATAAAGTGTCGGAAAAGTTTTTAAAACAAATAAATGAGTTTAGTAAGGTCACAGGATACAAGCTCAGTATTTAAAAAGTTGAAATAATGAAAACAACATCAAAATCATGAAATATAGGAGCAAAGTTATTAGACCTGTACTAAAGCTACAAAACGTACTAATGCTAGAAGAAAGTAAAGAAGTCCTGAAATAGATACACTGTGTGCATGAGTTAGAAACCTCAAAGACCTAAAAATCAAAGCAAGTTTTTAAGTGTTTTTTTTTTTAGAGGGGGTCTACCTCTGTCACCCAGGCTGGAGTGCAGTGGTGTGATCTCGGCTCACTGCAACCTCCACCTCCCGGGTTCAAGTGATTCTCCTGCCTCAGCCTCCCAAGTAGCTGAGATTACAGGTGCTCACCATGTTGGCCAGCCTGATCTCGACCTCCTGGCCTCAGGTGATCCACCCACCTCAGCCTCCCAAAGTGCTAGGATTACAGACTTTTTTCAAGACTGAAGCTATAGTGATCAAGATAGGATGGTACTGGATTTAGGATACACATGCCAATAAACAGAATTGAACTCAACCATATATTTTCAAGTGGCTTCAGCAAAGATGCAAAGATAATTCAAAGGGAAAGCATAGAGTTTTCAACACAGTTCTGTAATAGTTGAATATTTTTATGGAGAAGAAATGAATAATGTAAGCATGAAAACCATAAAGTGCCTAGAAAATCTTCATTAGAGAGGACACGGAAAACATAAATCTTAGAAGAAAAAATCAAGTTGGGTTTCATCAGTTTTAAAACCTTACATTGTTTGAAATGTCACATTAAGAAAATGAAAATTAGGGAGTGGGGGAACATTTATAGAAGAAATACTTGATGAAAAGGGACTTACCGAATATATTAAACACTCTTACAGCCCAGTAATTCAGAAAAACATTAAAAACTGGACAAAAGTCTGGGCACGGTGTCTCATGCCTGTAATCCTAGCACTTTGGGAGGCCAAGGCAGGTGGGTCACCTGAGGTCAGGAGTTCGAGACCAGCCTGGTCAACATAGTGAAACCCCGTCTCTACTAAAAATACAAAAAAATTAGCCGGGTGTGGTGCTGTGTGCCTGTAATCCTAGCTACTCAGGAGGCTGAGGCAGGAGAATCGCTGAACCCGGGAGGCTAAGGTTCCAGTGAGCCAAGATCGCGCCACTGCACTCCAGCCTGGACAACAAGAATAAAACTCTGTCTAAAAAAAAAAAAAAAAAAAAAAAAAAACTGGACAAAAGATTTGAATGGGCATTTTATGAAGGAACATATGCAAATGGTCAGTAACACATGAAAGGATGCTCAATATCGTTACTCATCAGAGAAGTACAAATTCATTTTATGATGCCAATATTTTTCTAATACCAAAGCTATCAGATAGTACTAAGAAAACTACAGATCAATATCCTTAATATTGAAAGATACAGGATACAGGTCAATACCCTTCACATCTTACACACACAAAGTCCTCAAAAAAATTAGCAAATTTAATCCAGAAATATATAACTTTTTTTAAAGAGTCTCACTCTGTCACCAAGGCTGAAATATAGTGGTGCTCACTGCAACCTCCGCCTCCTGGGTTCAAGTGATTCTCCTGCCTCAGACTCTCGAGTAGTTGGGATTGGATTACAGGCACAT